AATGAACGTCCAACTAATTTTTTAAATGATCCAAAATGACCAACAAAATTGTTGGATGGTTTTGGTTGAGATCTGTTATATGATGGCCGCCAAGTTCACATACGTGTATAATAGTGATGGTTGTTTATGTTCGTTTGAGTTTTTATGCGAAAATGTTAGTTTTTATTTTAGATATGCCTCTAAATAGACTTATTTAGACTTGTATGAGTCGCAATAGACGTAATATATGAATATTTATGTACGTATTAAACAATGTGTACAATAAAGAAGTTTTTTATGAAAACAATTAATTCAGGAACATAGTGTGAACCACTTCTCAGACTCGTCTTTCCGGGCGTTTCGGTCATTTCACCATAACCGACATTAGTATTCGTACGATGTGCTGCGTATCTGAAACTTTGTTCGGTCTTAACTCGGCTACCCTTCATTATTTCCGCTTTCATGGAACCATGAACTTTTTCTATTTCATCTTTTATTTTTTTTCATCTTCGGCCAGACATCCGGTCAAACCGTATAGTACAATTAATTATAATAACGTCGGTCGGCTAAATAAATCTCCACCGGAACCGGATTCGCATCAAGTCCACTATAAAATTGATCGTAAACTACCTACGATTTCTGGACCCTCTGGACAGTTGTTATCCGTTGGGTAGACCGAGCGAATTTCGGTTGTGTAGGTAATCATCGTTTCGATTAACCCTCCCGACACGGCTCTTAATAATACCAAATAACAATGGGGTGTATAATTATTAGCAATTACCAAATCAGCTTACGTACACGAATTTCATTTTAGTCGGACATCGCTGGATTAGCGACGGTTTGTACAAACTAAAATTGCTGAAAATACGCAGCTATAAAGTTTTATATACCTACACGTAATGTTTTTACAATTAAACGTGAAAAGTCGCTGACAAAATATTTTCGCCCTACAAAAAAACGAAAATATAAACAAAAATATTTGAAATGATTAAAATGTAAATTGTGTACAAACTACAAAATACTATAAAATATTATTGAAAACCGGTTTATTTATGTTATATTAATATCAAGTGTCAGTTATAAACACGTTATAGAAATATTACCATTAAAGTTATTATAAACAATACAAGGACTACGAATTACCCAGCTGTGTTCATCCCAGACAAAAACTTTAAAAAAATGTTAACAAACACTAACAAACTCTTTTTATTTCTATTTAATTAAAACAAAAATCAAGATAACCATAATAATGAGTTATTAGTATGAACATTTATTGTAGTTTTTTAGCAATCATGTACTCCTAAAGTTCAAACGGTAAAATAACAAAACGGTATGATAAAGTAAAACCATAGATAATAATTGCAGATTGATATTCTTTTTAACTAGAAAAATAATTTTCAGTATTAACACACAGCAACGTAGTTTGAAATATTCATAGAAACAAGTACAGTTTTTCTGTTGTGTAATATAATAAAGCTAATAACAAAATATAGGAGTAATCCGCAGTCAAATCATTTAAAATGGCAGTTTTTAATGAAATTTAAAAAAAAAAAATCTAAGTGATTTAATATTAGAAGTAGGTGGTATTCTGGTAGAATAATTTGGCAAAACAATTCAGTATACATTTATTTAAAGTTAGTCGCAGCCGGTAAGAGATTTTTGAATATTATTATCATGATAATAACGTAGCGTCACTGCTCTGCGTGATCGATTATAGTCTGAATACCGTTTTACACCGTTCGCCGCCGCAAGCTCAATTGTTAAAGTAAAATGTGAAGAGCAATATCGTCACTAGGAGCTAAAGGAAAGTAAGCATTCTAAAATAACACGAAGATTCCATTTTCGTACACTAGGCACTTTCAATCAAAAAACAAACCTACGTGCTTCCTGTGTTTTTATCAATGTAAAGTAAAAAAACCGAAATAAAAAGGTCCTTGTAGGTATTGTTCTGGTAATATTTTTAAGAGTTTAAGACATTTTAATCAAAGTACATTATCAGTATAATATTATTAAAAATACAAATTAATTAACTTTAAAATAAAAATAATTTGATGCTATCGATATATTTTTTAAAGTTTTCTTTTTCCATAAATATAAATTATTTTATTTTATCAATTTTTTTATGAAGAACGAATATTATCGCAACTTATTGAACATACTTTTTGTAATATTACAAAATTTAAATAATTAGTTTTAAACCTATTTATAATATTGCCATCGAAGCGGTACTTCTTTTCCATTATTTGGATGTGTAAGATAAACATCAAACTATTATGGTATCGTCGTATTGTGATCTAAAATATTTTAACAAAATACAAGGTTTTTTGAATTTTATGATTCATTATTTTTTTCATTGAAATAATAGCTGCAATTAAAAATGTTTCATACAAAATCTGGCTTATAATAAATAATTTTTTTTTTGTTCAAGTAAGATGTATTTTTTTAAAGAGTAATTTTTTAGGATTTAGGTTATTTTTGTTTGATTACTTTCCAAAAATACATGTTGTAAATATATTTTGACAATATTAAAAACCATTGTGATAAATATTATTAATATTATATTTTCAATAAAAAGGTACTTTTAAAACATATTATTGTTATGGCGGTAATTGTAACTGTACCAGTTCAAATAATTTTTAATAGCGTACATAAATGAATAAATGCTGAGCCGTCTTTTTATTTTACCTTAAAGGAATAATAATAACAATAATATTATTAAGATGTGATTTATCGCTAAAACATAGTTATTTCGAGTCAGGTTGCTCCATAATCCTACATGGCATGCCAAAATGACCTTTTCGATTAAGGATTCTATGCGTTCACTAATAAACCACTGGGGTGGTTTGATTATGTATAACGAAGAGAAGCGTTATCGCATGGTAACTTACTAAAGGTTGTAATACGGGTTGCCAGACTTTGTAATAGCTATATGATATCTACTTGTTTATATGGATTTAATAATGTTTTGGGCTTGAATATTTCATATTACACTTTCCCTAGCCATTTAAATGCTTATAAGGTTCTCAGTTATTAAAGGATTCTGGGTATTTCATTTTATCCTTTCTAGGTGCTTTACCTGCTTTGATATCCTTCAAATCCGGGCTAGTTTTAATTTTGTGATCGTGATAAAAGTTTCAAATTTCAAAGCTAGTAATAAATAAATGCGTAGTGAAAAGCCGGTGTAGTGGAGTCGAAACATAGTGGGGACGGAGCATCAATATCAATGGGCAGGAGACGTTACAGGTCTACAAGAATTAATATGTTTGAAATTAATGAAATTAAATGTAATAACTGCTTCAATGCAGATATGTAGATGGCAGAAATAAAAATGCCGATAAAAGAATTGTAATGGCAATAACATCCCCCCTTTTGTTGTTTTTCCATAATAAAAACAAAAGTTTGACTTTAGAGTTTTGAGATAACTGTATATGTTATAACCTAACTCTAGATCTAACTTCATTATAATTTTTGGGCCTCAAGCTCTAAAACTGCAGCCTAGCGAAATAATGAAAAAGTGCTCACCTCTTATGGGGGGAGAGAGTGTTTGGTATTCTTTGTTTTGTCAAATTGTATTGATAATATACTCTGTCTAAATAATATTCCATACAAATTTGAAGCTATATGGACTATTTTTTAAAAAGTTGCACCGTAATTTTAAGTTGAAAAATATATACACTTTTTTTAGTGTTTTTGTCTGTAGTATTATTGATTATACTTATTTTAGATATTGAGAAGATAACTGAGTGTTGAATTTTGAAGTATTATATGTCAGTGATGTCGCGTTGTTCGGGGAAACAATAGACAAACTTTATGAAGGCTGAATAATATTTTGGTATAGAAAAAGTTTCCTCATTTTCACAAGTCTGGTAACGTCAAAGCTATAATTCAAAAATATCTGTTTTCGAACATTTAAACATAAAAATAATATACATTGGAAAAGTATTAGGATTCAAAATGAAGTTATAATATCAAAAGTTAAACGGAGATTATAACAGTTTGTACAAGTATACTCTAAGAAAACTTAACGTAAGCGTTCAGAATTATAATAAACAGTACAAAATGTCTAATATTCTTAAATTTTGAGAAAATATAGCACTGATCTTTCGGTACTTTGATCAAATAGACGTGAATTGTACGAATTGTGAATTGTAAACTTACTCTTAGCTTTGAGTTATTAATATCAATAAATATTTTTGATATTGTTAACCCAATTATCCTGTTTGCAAATATTGTTTTTGTAAACTTACTCTTAGCTTTGAGTTATTAATATCAATAAATATTTTTGATATTGTTAACCCAATTATCCTGTTTGCAAATATTGTTTTTTGTGTTCAGCAAAGGTCTTCGATCTCAATTAAAATGGACAATACCTCTATATTATTACTAAAAATGCCATAAAATTGTTTTGTATGGTTATTATTTAAAAATTAAGACGTGTAGGTTAGGTTAGGTAATATTAAATTCTTAAAATAATTATTTAAGTTAAACAAATTAAATATCATTAATAAATAAGGTAAAATTTAATTATATATAATTCAGATAGCTTAAAAAGATGAAATTAACTTAAACGAGTTAATTAGAAAAAATTGATTTTATTTCATTTTCATGATTAATATTTGTCAAATTTCATTAGATTTTATAATAACTTGATTTTTTTTTATAGAAAAATTAACTAAATAATAATTAAGTGAATTCAGAATTTAATGTTTAAGCTTCAGAACACAATGTAGCCTTTTTATAATGTGAACAAGTGTAACAAATACAATCTATTTTAAAATGTTATTATTAACAAAACTTTTTAACATACTTACACCTGTTAATACTCAACATTAATTCAAATGTATACCATCTGGCTTTTATCTTTTGACAATCAATAGCTATTGTCCTCAGTGACAATATATCTGTTTTATACTACACTGGCTTAACCTACCCTAACCTTTATTTATAAAACAATAATGTATTAATTACAATTTTTTATTTATAAAACTTTATAATAAATATTAATATCATTATTGTTTTAGTTGCCTTTTGGATGGAAGTATTACAAACCCGATTCCGGAACACGATATTTACAATGGATTAAAGAGCGGAAATTACAAAACCACTAATACCGATCAAGTTTAACTTTGTAAAAAATTACTAGCGTACTTGAAAGTCGCTAACAGGTAATAAAACATCAACTATGTAAAATAAAATGTAATGCGGTCGAAAGAAAACCGCTTAAATTCCGTTAAAATAGAAATGAGTATAAATATTTGTTTTAAATTAAGTTATTGAAAACTAAAAAAAAACAGTAGGTAGATTTACAGTATATAGAATTAAATAAGCAGCATCTTAAGCGAAAAAGAAAATATACTCGACACACATCGTTCACAAATATTTGCATTTGTTTTCAAGAAACAAAAATTCATTTTTTTTTTTTAATTTAATTAAAGCTTTCTTAGATAAATTAAATAGATATTAAGATATCTTATAATTTATTTAATTTAATCAAAAAGTATGGATATTAATCTTAACTAAAACTTTTGAAGTCAACTCACCACAACTATTTCTAACAGGTTGGAAATTAGTAAGAGGCCAAGAGTGCAGAAAAGAGGATTTAAATAAAACTTACTAAGCTTATAATACCCACTTTTATTATTATTTGTTTGGTCGCCTTTTGCTTTTCGGTACAAACATTAAATTGAAAACCTCATCAAAATTCCTTTTGATCAATCTAAGTAAACGACTTTTGTTTTGTAGGAACTTAAAAAAATTGATTCTCTACATTTTTCCGTTGCAATAGTTATTGCATTCACAATTTAAACGAATTGGTACAAACACAATTATTTGTAACGTTTAATGTGATTTAAAAAATATTGTTTTCTAAAACGAAATAATATCATACTAATATTGCCAGAGATGTCAAGGTTTTTGTGATTAAAATAACAATTGAGTTGTTCTCTGGACTGAGGGCATATCGACTGATAAGATTTTATTCCGGAGATTGTTTTAAATGAATCGCCATAATTAAATACAACTAAGATAAAAATCTTTTTTTGTTGTGACATCACTGAGCAAAGTTATGATATAATAATAATAAGACAATTCCTATTTTGGTGATAAAAAATTGCGTTCTCCGGACAAAGGACCCATCGATGATATGCCTTTTTTAAATATTTTAAATGAATCGCAATAATAAAAAATATCTATGGTAAAATGTTTTATCACTTTTTGGTTCATTTTTATGTTAATTATTATACATTTATGGCATTTGATTTAATTTTTATGCTAGTTTCCGATAGAAACAAAATAATATTTATTAAAGTTTTTTACTGTTGTAAAACATTTGTTAAAGATATTTTAGTTCAAAATATCATATAAAAATTGTATTTGGTTTTTTCCCAAAAACCTTATTTTGCCCTTTGTCCAGAGTATGCTTCAATTTCGTGTGACATTTTTGTAGTTAAATTAAATATCGCTTTTTAAAAATATTTTGTTCTTTAATGCGTGAGGAAATAGGATAATACTGGTTATTTTTATTTCATTATCAATTTTTAATTGTTTATTCCAAATAAGTGATTCGTAAACATATGTTATAAAAAATATTCAGCAAATAAAATATATAATAATAATTATAAAATAAAATGTTTAATCATGTAATTATTATTACAAGTTTTTATTTTAATAGCCTTTATTAATAATAAATATAATTATTATCAGTTATAATCCAACTATAAGAGTTGATCGATTTTTTATTTAATTCATTTTTCTTCTATTTTTTTTTCTTTTAAAAATTAGTTGTATTCGATGTATTTTCTTTTAGTAATATTTAATATTGATTTTATTACAGTAAGTAGATAATCCATGTTCACATAGATTTAAGTCCGATAGAGAACCGATGAACCATAACAGTGATTTTAATCCATTAATTTTCAAATTCATTATTAAGAGTGCACTTTACCGTGAAAGTGTTTATTCGTGCAAAAAACCCACTGAAACTACGCACATCCCTTTTAAGTTTTATTCACAGCTCGATGCTGTGCATATTTGATAGTTAAACGATTAATATGGTGCATATTATTTAGAAGTCTATAAAATAACTTAACAGATTTAAAATAAAAAAATAAGCAGTATCAATTATAGTGTAGTAATATATATATTAGACTATATTAGACTAATGTACAAATCGAATTTCGCTAATCAGTATTATTCATTTTTTTTTTGTAACAAAAATATTCAAAAAAATATTAAAAACGTTTTTCTATACAGAGTAACTAACAGAAAAACTTAAAGTGTATTAACTTTGAAATGTTATTACATCTCGAAATGTAGAATTGTCTGGTTATAATAAATACTAGTGTAGAATATATAATGTACAGCAATACTAAAGTCAATTAAAACAAAATTATTTTTGTTATCTAATTATTTCCATTTCAGCACACATCCATTTTTCAGCTATTGGCATAATGTTTATTTAAGAGCACATTTTTGTATATTTACAAAATACCCTGTTTAAATAAACTAATAGGAAACATTATAATATTTTTAAGTAAAAATACAGCTTTGTAAAAATTAAATATGTAAAAAAAAATAAACACTAGGGGTTTGGATAATATAATACAATTCTCTTCTGATAAATGATGTTCGTAAAATGTTTTCAGAGTTAACTTTTCATAAATATCCAAACAGGGTTACATTTGTCGTTCTCGTTTGGTTTTACAAATATAATAATATAATGCACCTAACCTTCTACTCTAGAATTTTGCAACACATAAATCAAAAGCGTCAGTTAGATTTAAGTTTAAAACACCGTATAAGAATTCACAGTGTCTGGTAAAATTAAAATAAATAATTTTGATAATAAAAATAAGAAGTATGAACTTAAAATACTACGCACCAAAACTGTAGTCTAAAGAAAAAAATGATTTTTTATCATCTATGTACAACGCTCTTTTTAATATTGATCATTTATCTTATAAGAATATTATTTTCCATTATGTACAACAAATGAATAGGCCGGGTTCTCTATCTCCTAAACGGATCAATGGTATGCAACATGAACTCGGTATGAACACCTTTCACCATATTGAAATAAATGATCAAAATGTCGACCACAAATATTTAATATACATCTATAATTTAATTCTTATGCTTGTATTCCTTATTTTTTATTTATATTTAACTATCAATACAAATATATCTTACATCAATATTGCATGCTTTTCTAATTATTTTACAACTTTGTTCGAACTAATCAAATTACTTTTCGAATGAATAACCTCAGCTATATATAATATATACCGTTGTCTCTCATACGTGCTTGGTCTATACATTGCATTTACACAATGCCGATAACGATCACAATTCACAATACACGCTAATGTGCTATAGCAATAATACAACAACATTCCTTTTTTATTAACGATATTATTAAACGACCATTATTAAAATAAAATACTTCTTCTTCACATAAGAAGTATTGTGGTAGTTTTGAGAAAAATAATATACACGGTGATCCAATTTTGTTTTTGTTTTTTTGAAGCCATTTTAGTTAATGTTATTTTACAACATTAAACACTATTACTAATTTTATCATATTTCAAAAGCAAAAACTACAAAGTTGTAATTATTTTCAAAGAAAATGCGCGTCGTTTGTGAAGTAGATCACCCGGTATGTTAAAGTAAAATTTGGTTGGACGAGATGGGAAATAAACAAGAGGGGTGTTTTATGACTAAAAGGTAAGACATTTCACAAGTCCACAGTGAATAATTTACGGAAATAAAGAATTAAAGAGAAAAATAAAATCGAAGGAGCTAAAATGAAGTAAAGTAGAATCTGTAATGAGTACAAAAATTGTAGTTAGGAATATGAGTTTATTGCAGAAAAAATAGACTTTAAAATAAGTAGACATATTTTGTTTTGCACATTTTTGACACCTATTTACAACATAAACTTACTCGATTAAACCACTCTGATCCCTATAATTTTCATTATAAGTGGTTGGGTCAACATTGAACTATACGGATCTCTTAAAGTTGTATGTGCTTCATCTGCTTTTAAGGCGATTTAACATATTTAACGGTGTGAACATTTTTACTTATACATTATTTCTTTTAGCTTCGGTGCAAAACTGAAAAGATATTTATAAAACGATGATGAATATTCCTTTCGACAAAATAATATATTTTACATAGATTTTTGTATCGTTTAATATAAAATCTATTGCCAGTGTTGTAGCAATATTTTTTTTTAAAATACAGACGATTAATGTACATGGCTGACGTTGGCAAATATTAGACCCAATGAGGCTTGCACGAAAATTTGATATAAAATATGACGAAGCACACAAGCATGAGAGTTTAAACTGATGATTTCCTAATGTATACATTTAAAATTATAATATAAAAATATCGTTTTCATGTGATATTCAAAATAAATTAAATGTCAATCACAACATTTGATTGTAATACAATTTATAATTATAAATAAAAAAAACTACGTTATAAACTAAGTTATATTTTTCAAAAATATTAAATATTGAGCGAATACCATATTTGATTCTTATAAAGTTCTACGTTTTGTTTTTTTTAATATCTTCGTCGTGAACTTGATGATAGAACAGCACCCCGATGTCACTGCAATTAAGGCACCTATTTAAAAAATATATATATACATATGTATACGTATTTACATTTACCAAATACAATAACGAGGGGCGTTTAAATCAAATATTTAAATTTTGATAATCCAGCGGGTAAATAAATTATTATTTTCGGAGACAATTGTAATTGAAATGCTATTTAAATATATGTTTGCGTAAGATTAACAAATGTAATGATAATTTATAATGAAAACGGCAGTTGTAGAGAGTAATGTACACTGTGTTTATTTTGCTTATGTAAATGTGCCTACGTGACATCGTGAGGAAATTATTACCCGCACATGTTAAAGTCACGAGAGATGAAGTTGAATAATGGATACTAAGTTTTGTTAAATTCTCCGTTCAGTTATCATCACTCTCCCACATTATTTTTATAATTTAAACCTAATGTTTAATGTTAGAAATGTCACAGATTTAAAATGTTAAAATTATCGAATAGGTCGATTTATTACATAATATTCAGGCAACAAGTTATTCTGTCAAAACTGCAAAGGTATTATTAAAAGAAACATATCTTTTCT